CCTAAAATCCTCAATGGAGCCCCGGACCACTATTCGGCCGCTGCCCCGGGGCTGAGACAGCTAAGCCACGAGGGATGTCAGCGGGTAGCTTGACCTGTGACTTGAGAGCGTTAAGGCTTAGGGTTTAGGATTTAGGTTGCATTGGGGTTTTATGGGGAAATATAGCGGTTATACTGGGATAATGCAAGAAATAAAAATTTAGGGTTGAGGATTTTCGGTTGAGGTTTTCGAAGTAAAAAAGATCTTCTTGTGGGACTAGAATATCCCTGCATACCCCTAAATAATAGATTCCATTTTCTTTTCCATTATCCCTATATAGCCTCAATATACTGTATAGTAGTTTCCATTTTCTTTTCCTAAACCCTAAACCTTAAACCCTAAACCCTAAACCTTAAACCCCATACATTTACCTTCCAGGAACCATCCTCGTCCAGGGGCTTCCTGGTCCCACCGAAGCCTTACACCGCCAACTGCAATAATGGTAAAGAAAATGGAAACTAAATGTATGGGGTTTAAGGTTTAGGGTTCAGGGTTTAGGAAAAGAAAATGGAAACTATAGGGATTATGGGGACTACCCTTATAGGGGGTTGTATAGGGGTATAATATAGGGGTTATATTGGGATAATGGAAAAGACAATGGAAACTATAGGGATTATAGGGATTGTATAGGGGGAAAATATCGGGGTTATATTGGGATAATGGAAAAGAAAATGGAAACTATAGGGATTATAGGGTATATATTGGGGTATATATGTGCGCAATTCTTTGGACCTTTTCAAGATACTGATACGGGAGAGTGCCTTGGTTTGTCGTGATGTACAGGACCCGGAAATACCCCGACACCCTGCATCCCCCGGCACCATGGCTTGTTGGCCATGCCTCCGATAAGTCTGGAGGGTCCGGAGCTCCAGCCTGCACAGAACCGGGCATCGAGGCAGTTGGTTCAGTAACCAAACGCCAAAAACATTACGAACACTGTCTTGTAGGGCTCCCGTCCTACACTTTGAGAGCCCATTGGCCTCCCGTCGGTGAACTTCTATGAGTCGGAGGTCGATCTTCATCAAATCATCCCTCCACACCTGCTGTGCCACTCTTGTGAAGACTCTCGTGAAGACAGGCACCACGGTGACTAATACATGAAGTATCTGTGTTCATGTACTACTGGAGCTGACGCCCTTGCATTCCATGTGTAATTTCCACAAACAGTGCTGCACTGTTGCTACAATCTTGACTGTGTGATTACGCGCGCTGTTCTACACCCGCTCATACCTGGCTTGGACCTGCAAGCGGATCTAAACATGCGCAGCCCGGCCCCGTTCTTGAAGTAGTCCTGTACCTGCATAGCACGCATGTTGCCGCAGAATGCAGGCACAGGACATCATCTGCGAGCAACAGAAGAACTTTGAGTAGAGCAGCGGAATGATCCGGTACTCAAGCACGCAGAAGGAGGCTAATCACATGCGGCAAGGGTATACAGAACTCCACTTTCGCGCCAACCCCTCCACCAAGGACACCCGGCGAGTTTGACCCAGGACCAGCCCTGACCAGGCCTTTAGCCCCAGGTCCAGAATCCAGAATCCCAGAATCCCAGAACCCAAGATTAAATTGCGCCTCCCAAAGGCATCGCAAGAAAAAAAAGTGGCTGGTAACCTTGAAATTTTGGCCCTGGCCTCTGCAACTGCATAGAGCCGCTTGAGCTCACGGAAGAGCTCCGGGCCCGATTTGCGCAGTCGCTCATCCTCCATTCCCAGAGCAGGGGTCCAATTAGGGATATATAGGGGATAATGGAAAAGAAAATGGAAACTACTGTACTGGTGTTGGGGTTATATAGGGGATAATGCAAAAGAAAATGGAGACTACTATAATCTTAGGATGTGTGAAAATCAAGGGTCCGTTTTGGAGGTCTTCATGGAAGCAACTAGCGTTCTGGTGACACATAGGAGGACCGTGAGTTTTGGAGCCCCTTGGAGCCCCCTAGGTAATGGATTCCTTAGCCCTGCCCTATCCATCCTAAGCGGCTTAGGGGTTTAGGGTTTAGGGTCGCTTTTCCACTATCCCCTAAAGAACCCCTGATACCACTATAGTAGTTTCCATTTTCTTTTCCATTACCCCGAAACCCTAAACCCTGTATAACCCCATTATAGTAGTTTCCATTTTCTTTTCCATTACCCCCATATATAACCCATATACTCCGTACATAACCCCCATACAACCCCTATAATCCCTGTAGTTTCCATTTTCTTTTCCATTATCTTCATATTAACCCCAATATGACCCATGTAATTAAACCCCAATATAAAACAAAGCTTCATCGAACATTGAGAGGGATCCTGGGTCCTTCAAGATGCTGCAGCATGTCCAAAATGCAAAATCCATATATAGGGGTTAAATTGGGTTATATTAGGGTTATCTTAGGGTTATATTAGGGATAGATTGGGGATATATTGGGATAATGGAAAAGAAAACGGAAACCACTATTTAGGGTTTAGGTTTTCCCAAAATTAGGGGTGCCTCATTGGGGGTCCCCATAGTAAGGATTACAATATACTGGGGTCTATATTGGGATCCGCATATTTTTTGGAAACTACCATGTCAAGTGTCCCAGAAAATTTGTGCTTCTAGAAGAATTCACACCTACCAGTACGTTGCGCCTCTTCTTCCTCCATTTCGTCACCCGACCGCTTCGGGCAGCACTGGGAGCCAAGGCCATCGGAGATCACGTTCACAGCACGTCTCATGCCCATGCCCATGCCCCCCACCACCACCACCACCACCACCACCACCACCACCACCACCACCACCTTGACTTGCAATTTTAAGGGCTACAGCACATGATGGCACGACACCCGCAGTGCATGCTTCGTTGGGCTTAGGATGCAGAATCTGACAGTTTAGGGATCTATTCCTATACTATCATATAATTACATTATTGTACTATTATACTACTGTAGGATTTTGCATTTTGGGACTTCAGTCCAGAGGGCCTAGGGAACACTAAGCATCTCCTTCGAAGTCTTTATGAATCCAAACTTCCAACAGAATGTAGAACTGCGATTTACTGCCTAGCACGCCTCATTTTTCGCGCGTCCTGAAGCCTGGCACATGATAGGTGAACAGTTTTCAAACTTGGGCCATGCCTCGGCGCTGGCCCATGTCGGCTTCTAGCAGTCTTTCAAACTTGCAAATTGCACAAGTGCTTCTGGCATCCGCAGCTCACACGAGCATGAAGACCCATAGGATCCTCATAGGCCTGACAGAAACCCACAGCCAGCTGTGGCTGCTTCAAAAGCTCGGTCTTCTGTTGAAAGCTTGCACAGGCTTGTCTCCCAGCACCCAGAATGTCTGATTTTTGGCTAGCAGGTTCTACGTGAGCTATAGTCTCTAAAGTCAGATTCTCCCACTTAATAAGCCCTGTAAGACACCCTGTGTAATCCACTACATATCCCCCTTTAGACCCTAAACCCTAAACCCTATATAATCCCCTACATAACCCTCATGTCAAAAGTCGATATCAGGGGCATGGGCTCTGCCAGGCCAAAAGCCAGTGATCAAACCCTTGGGTGCCCAGCACATCGGAGTCTGCTGGCGTGGTCTCCATCAACCTGGTTAGGGTTTAGGGTTTAGGGTTGACCTAGTTTTCCATGCGTTAGCATGCAATCTTTTTATCTGTGGTGTCGATGTGCAAGAATTTGCAGGAGCAGGCAACAAACACGGAACTTGATGTGCAGGCTGAGAGCATTGCTGCATCTACTGCGGCAGCAAGTGCCGCAGCCACTGCTACATCATGCTACTGCTACTTCAACTGCTCATAGTCATCGCGATCTTGGTAGTGCCAATGGCAAGCGTAATGGTTGCAGAGATATCTACGATTTCTACGACAATCAGAACCCCCTACACACCCTCCATCAGAAGAGACCCCATTCCAAAGATCCAAAAACAATGTTTGAGTCTGTGATTTCATGCGGTTCCTGTTTTGTCATCACACAGACATGGCCGTGTGAACCCCTGACTCGTCTACGACAAATCTCAACCTCTGTGTCCACAACTCGCAAGACTCATCAGGTGCATCACCACCATTCACCACCTGATTAACAAGAGTTGCCTCGCGCCCGAATGCGATGCTGCAAAATGAGTGCACAAGCTAAGCCTGGGTTTTGCATGGGATTGCACAACCCATCGGCAGGCCTGCTGCCAACGAAGGAATTGTGGCCGCCCATCACCTTTGCTTATGGCTTGCTTCCTATACACAAGAAGACATCACAAGACTATCAGACGTCAAGAGGCTCCCTGGAACTTCGCAACATTCCCGATGCTTCTCAGAGTCTGAGAAGGC